AAATATCTACGAGTCAAGAAATATTACATATAAAACTCTTTGCCCTTTGTAAGAAATTGTTGCAGACTTATGTCTTTGTTGGATCAAGATAAAGCCCGTTGAAATGATTTGAAGTGGGACGGTAGGTCACCCAAGCAACACATTGCAAGAAAATTATGCAGAGCTAAATTTGCTGTCTGACAAATAAGTAAATTTTTTCTACAAAACTCTTAGTTCCCGTTTGGTTTCAGGACTGCCGCATTAAGCATGCTTAATTTTAATTTTGTACGGAATTTCATCTTCGGGTTTTTTTTTGTGAAGCATTTCATTAACGTCCTCAGGAATTTATTTGATTTGAAGTTCAAGTTATTATTAGGAAATTCTTCTTTAAACATATATATACATTTTGTATCTTATCTGTAAGGTTTATTTTTTTCAAAATTTTGATTGTTTTTATTAAACTGTTAGTTAATTCAAAATATTTTGAATAAGTTTTACACGTATAAAGCACTATTATAGATTCTAAAACATGCATGACCGTCTGAAATCAGAAAAGATCTTTACATTTTCTTTTTTTACTTTACTACTTGCCAAGGAACCAATTTCTCGTTTTTCTTCTTACTTTATACAGCCGATTACTACAGAAGCAGCGTGCTTCATTGCTCAGTTACGCACCTCAATGCTAGTTCTTTCGAATCACTTCACGTTTCTCAGATTCTCTTGCTCTTAATAGACTTTCTGAAAGTTAGATTATTCACTAGGGCAGTAATACTACCTCTTTTTATTTTCTCATCGTTAAGATAACTCCAAAAGCAGATTGAATGATCGTTTTTATTTTAGTGACTTTATAAACGGCCTGCGGATAGTTTTTGTGAAAAAAAATTGTCTTTTTTTATTCTCTATAAGTTTATATCTGATTTTACCGTATCCACTGCAATTTTTTATGACTTTTGTAGAGCTAAGCGGGTGAAACTTCTTGATATTAAAATCACTCTATGATTACCTACCTATCAAGGGCTTTCCTGTTGTTTTAGTTACCAGTCGGTAGAGTAAAAATTTCATTTATTTTTATTTAGAAAAAGCGTTGAAAGAAATCTTCTGAATTACAACTTATTTTTGCAAAATTCGATTTTCAAAAATAAAAGACAGTCTGTAAACGATGCAGTGATTTCAGCCCTGGACGGAATTTTTTTACTATCGCAACTTTGGCTTACCTCTGCCGCTAAAACGCACAGTAAAACGGATCAAAATGAACATTTCTTATTTCCTACCTAACTATGTCGTTGTAGCCTTATTACTCTCGGTATGCTTAAATAGCTCTGTATACTAATTTCTTGCTTAAATCTTACTTATCAACTAAACAGACGAACAGATAAATCTGTTTCAATACCGTAAACAGTTCTTCTGCCTTATAGTGATTTTTTAAAATTCTAGTTCGGTTGCATAATAACGTCATTTTGGTTGTTAATATCTGCGATCATCGTTGCATTATTTTTTGCGTATATACACTCAAAAACTGCTAATGGACCAATTGTCGTCGGTGGAGAAGAGGTATTACTAACGAAGTTTGCAAATATTTTTAAAGCTAGTGTTATTTTTCTCAAATTTTAACAACAATGATTTTTTTCTCAAGATCAGTACTTGGTTTAGAATAATTTTATCCTCGATAGTTTTCAGCTAGTTAAAATGACTTTTACACTAGCGAAACATTTATTATTAGAATAGTTGCTAAGTAGCTTTACAGTGCAAATCGATGTAGTCCGTTAGCTATTTTGCCTCCAATTTTCAATTTATTAAAAGGTATTAAGTTGTGCAGTTGACTTTCGTATTCGTTTTTGAATGCAAAATGTTCCCTATTAACTATGAAAATGAAAAATTTTTTCCTTGCCTTCTCCAGTCTGCAAAGCCCGTCTTGCTGAATATGTCTCTTAGGTGTCTCTGTTTGGGGAAGAAGTGGAAGAAGGAAAAATTCACATTTTTAGCGACAGCAAGCGTACTATTCTATTTTATAGTAACGGTAGAATAGACGGTTTAATCGGGATTTTTATTTTAGATACCTTCTTGGATTCTGTACGCAGCAACCATATTTGCAGTTATTCCCCTACTGATCTTAGCAGATGTCGGATATATACTTTACTGTGCGATAGGTTAGTATTTATTTTAAAGTAGTTCGAAGTCGGGAAGAAAAAAAGAAATAACGTTGAACATTTATTCATGGCACAGGAGTCAACCCTCAAATATCTTCAAAACAAATCTTCCATCTGTGTCTATGAATTCTATAGTTTTCTTGAAAATGTACATTCTTTGACGAGTTAAGTTTTCTACCTGTCAGTTCTAATCACGGCTTTATAACTGTTGTTTGCGCTATTGTAATCAAGCCAGTTTGTACTTACATTCAAATTTCAGGCGTAAGTCTTCTAATAGATTTTATCCATGCGCTCTTCTTTTCGGCTTTGATAGATAAAGCAAAATTGGGTACATTAACGAAAACTACACAAGTTGTTATCGTACGTACCGCTGACGAGTCGGTCCCACCGAAACAAAGCTCTAGGTTACTGCAACCGGTAACTGAAGCATCTACTAGTGCTGCCGATGCGAAACACGATAATCGAGTACGCTTCGTGGAGGAAGAGGATTCCTCCTAAAACTTCCATTTAGCTGCCAATTTGTAAGTAATCATTATTTTATTAAATAAAAACATTTCAATTATTTTCCATATGGTTCTGTTGCTACTTGGTGAATATGGCCAAACCAACGAAGGGTGCTAATTATTAAACAAAAAACTGAATTTAGTTTATCTCCTAACGCTGTTAACGCAAAGTCAGCAGTATGCTAAGTAAACTGCAGCTGGAGCAATGAACGATACCTGTCGTCAAATTGGCTCAGGGCAAGCCGTTTATACAACATACTTCTTTTATTAGCAATTATAGCAGAACCAAGAATTCTAGATTAGCTACAACTGCTTGAAGAGGTTTTGAAGTTGTGATCAGGCTGCTGAACTGTTGCTAATTAACAAATGTATCTGCTTCATCGTTGGCTCAATACCGTTTTCCTCTTTGGCCACTTAGTTGGCACATTTTTTGTTCTTTCCTATTCCGATGCTTCCGTCTAATTCTCACGTAAATCTTTTTTTTTTTTTCATGTTGAATCAGAAGAGTACACAAAAGAAGTGGCACAAAAATAGCGGATAAAGGAATGTACAGTGAATGATTTTTTAACTTTTGAAACTATCTACTTCAAACTTGAAACTATCTACTTTACTGATAGTTTTACTGCTCCCAAATTTCCTTAAAAAAAGTTTTTTTCTTTTTCTTCTTTTGATTCTCTTGGCATTTAATTTTCTTTTGTTGCGTTAATTCACTACTCAAATAATACAAATTTTTTTTGCTAAACCTGCCTGATTCTATTTCACTTAAACATCCTTCATATTTCACTGTTCTTAGTACTCGCCCTCCTCCGCCCTGCCAAAAAAAAAACAACGATTTTCCAGACAATT